AATATCATTCTTATCTAATACAAAGGGCTTATTGTTTAATATTATAATCGGCCAATCACCTGTTCATATTGGTAGAAGACGAAAGAGGGAGTATTAAACTACATATGTTTTATATAAATTTTATTAAGCAGAGACATGGCTGTAGGCAGATACAGATGTCCTGGATTCTTGTGGCAAGTGCCCAGTAGACTGTTATCCCTTATTCATGCACCAAAGCTGCACTATTAAGAAATGTAATAATTTGTCCAATACCATATCACACAGTTACTGACAGTATAGTTTACTTCAGGTTGCTGTTCATGGTTCTTTAAACCAGCTGTACAATGTATTTATATGGAAGCTGGGCTGGACCGCTTAGCGGGACAGCCCGGTAAGCAAGATCTTACTGCATTAGGTATATTTATCTAAAAAAAGTATCATGTGTTTATATGGATCCACAAGCAGGCTGGCTCTGATGCCACAATGTTGCTTATTGGGATGAAAATTTCTCCACATATACACTCACAAGCAGGCTGGGCCAGGATGAATGTTCAAAGATGCCGACCTGCAAGCTATTGTTAACAACTGTCAAAACAATGTCAACATAACAGAATTGTCCCGGCGAGCAGGATGGCATTTTCTCATATAAACACAATCTTGAAGTGTATTAGTGATGCACCGATATATGGAAATTCACAGATAGTCTGATAACTGATAATAAAAGACCAATACTTTGCCGATGCCGATAATACATGTCATTTCACGAAATTCAAAGATGACTGATACAACCAATATGGATATCGGTACATCAGTAGGCCAGTTACCCAGCAAGGTGAGTTAGTCACTCAGGCAGGACAAAAAAGCAGTCTATTTATATGAAATCAAGTTACCTCATTATTGCTGCGCAATGACAAAATACAAACACAATTTGGATCATTCAAAAGGTTTAAAAAACATGATTACAAAATAGGCAAGAATAAGCTGCTAGCCTCTATTTCTATAAGCTATAAACATACCTAATGATTTGTATGTATTTTGGGGCTATTGTTTTAAATGAAAGGCATATACATTCTATCTAGGGTTGCAGAGTTTCCCGGGTGAAGTATAGTAAGTCGGGAAAACTAAACATTCTCTACAGTAGCCAAGTTATCCGGCAAGGCAAGTAGGAAAATCCTCTGGCATTAGACAGAATAAACAATAAAGTAGGATGCAATTCAGTTATTCAGCTATCTATACACTGAAAATATCAGATTAAATGCTGTCATTCTCCTGTAATTCCAATCCTTATTCAAGTATTAAAATGCTAACAGATCTTCAAAAACATCCGTATGGATAAAATCTTATTTCATATCACTATATAGCCTTGAGTCTTGACATTTGAAAGGTCTAGCAAACTGCCAATGTCAAAGGCAATTTAATATTGTCAAATTGTTAATATTAGTGCGTAAATTAGCATGGAATTCACAATAATAGATATGAATTTATATTTTAATCTTTCGTCCCTTGCCTGAAAGCAACATTTGCATGTTTTATATGCAAAACGAACGCGGCAAATTCAAACATTCAATGGAATGTTTTCACACTTCGCTAAAGTAAACAGTCATAATCACTACATTATTTCGCAATGAATCTGTTTAAATGACAAGTCAAATATACAATTATTCTTACCTGTGGTATCTGAACAACATTTTAAGGACTTTCTGATGCTTTTCCCATCGTTATTTGCCATTTAAATTGCCTTGAAGGCGCCTTTAATGCCATGGATATTTATATAAAATTTTTCACAAAAATGTAAAACGACGCTATCCCGCGATGCTCCGCGTTTTAAAAGGTAAACTAGGTACCAGGCGTTTACTGAATACGCGAACTATGGCGAACTTATTCCTGCTTGGATAAAAATTCCGGAGGGCAAAAATTCTCTCCAACGATTCAATAAAACTGAAACGAGCTCAAATTTTGGAAACGAAATAAAAACAAAGTGACTATATTACCGGCAGCCGGTCTAACTCTCAAAAGGTTAGGGTTAGGGGTTAGGGTTAGAGAAGAGTTTGAGATTGGGGATCGGTTTATCTATCTTATACTGAAGATTCAACTTTAACCATATAGTCAATGTATTGCCGGCCATTTAGTGTTTGATCAACCGTGAGCTGCCGGTCATATAGTCCCTTCAATTCGAAATAAAAACTACAAATTTACCTGACGCAATAAGATATACGTTGTTCTAAGTCTTGTTAAGATATAAGTTATCCTATAACACTAGGATTTTACATTTTCTTGCTTCGAAAATTTAAGTAATAATGTCTTACTATTTTATAATTTTGTATTTTAAGAATTTCATTTCTTGTCTTACGAACATATTCTTAAAGTAAGAAAATCGTATTTTCTTATTTTAAGAAAATGTTTTCTTATTAAGAAAGTAATAAAATCGTATTTTCTTATTTCAAGAAAATGTTTTCTTATTAAGAAAATTTTTTCTTATTTTAAGAGAAAGATATCTTGGGATTCAAAAATTTCTTATTTCAAGAAAAGTTTTTCTTACTAAGAAAATTATTTTCTTATTTTAAGATTTTTTTCTTAAATTAAGAAATTTTTTTCTTAATAAGAAAATGATTTTTTTCCGTGTAAACTTGCGTAGATCATTCATCATCTTTGTTTAGGTAAATTTAAGGAATAATTCTGGGAATAATTCGAGCCGAGAGCAGTTTTTAGGCAAGTAATTGATGAATTTCAGTGCGGATTACGAAGTGTTATTTTATGTATACAAAGCGCTAACTTGACCAAATTGACCATCTCGCTGCTTCGCACACAGCGGCTATACCCTGGCCCAGAGTTGTTTTTAGGTTTGGCGAACGCGAAATGCGAGAAAACGCGCGAAGAAAAAGGAAAAACCTCTGGTGAATTTGTTAGCGATTCCTGGTTCGGATAAAGAATGCAAAAAATGTATAATGGCTTAATGCATCATATTCTAAAAATATTATCCAATCATTATCCTTGACACCAGGCCGTCTAGACAGGGTTTTATCGCATGTTTACTGTCCAGTGTGTGCCTGCCCATTTGTAGCAACATTCATTCTCCTGAATTTCATTCAATTTAAAACATCACATCTATTCAATTTAATATAAATATATATTATATTTATATTCATTCACTTTAATCTTGCAATATACATTGATTTCAATTTAATCCTGCAATATACATTAAAAAAAATCTGTATTTTATAAATTTATTAAACACACCTCTTTGGGCCGACGTGAACTTTGTCTGTTAATACAAAAGCAAGCAAATTTGTCTTGTAGATTTCAAATGAAACCATTCCTCTCCGTTTCGCATTTCGAATAATAGACTCGGGATTACAAAATGCGAATGTAAACTCTCCATCTAGTATTGCTTTCTCGTCCTCTTCGTTTGACAGTGAAGTAACACGGCATCCACGCTTTCTTAGTTCGCGGACGTGAGAGTTAATGAAATGACTATTAAGATGAATTTCTCCAGAAAATTGTGGCTTTTGCCAAGTCGTCGTGCTACTCTCGGTGTTAGAACTTTGGAATATTAAACTCTTCCCATAACCGATAACAAGATGCAAAATTAATACATCTTTGATGTGAATCAAATTGGACAAGGCGCGGGATTGATGCTCCGTTAAACTTTTAATTCAGGAAATTTATCAATCTATCTATCAATGCAGCCTATAAAACTGCTTCTTTCAACTTTTGTTCGTTTATTTATTAAAAATATAGACATTTCAAAATTCAAATGTTTCAATTCAATGAAAACACGAAGCGCTTGCGAACAGGCTATGATATTTAAAAATATCGAATCAGAACACGTAGTCTATCGAACCTATAGTCAGCAGCCAATCAACTCTTTGCTTCCATTTTTGAGAGTTATGTGTGGAATGTGAACCCAAAAACTACGCCAATTTCACCAGAGGGTTATTCAAAACAGGCGGAAAATAAATACCCTCTGGTTCCAGGGTACACAGCGGCATACCCGAAGGTTTGACTTTAGAACCTTGGAGATAAAGTTATCATCTGCATATGGATGTAATTTTTTATTTCAATTTTGGTGAAACAAACGCGAATTTTGCTCCCGAACTTTGTTATAATTTAGTGCACTTCCGCAACCTGCACACAGGGGTGGCATCTTATCAACTAAGCAATCAGTGAATTTGACATTTGTATGTTTTCATAAGAAAAGATGAGTCAAACAAATGGCGAATAAAACGTTTTGCCAGCGCGTTTAGTTTTGATACGGTGCAGTTCTAAATATTGCGAAATTTTGGCCTTGAAAGGGATGACCAAATGAACTGGCTCGCACAAGTAAGCTCGAGCTTCGAGGAAAGCGAAAACAAACATTTTTCCAAAAAGTATTCCATTTTTATTAGTTCTGTACCAAGCTCTTTCTTTGCAAGCTCAGATGTCCGAAAATCAAAAATTAACATACTGTATATAATAAAACCACCAAATAGAATAGTAATATAGTCTAACAGCACTGATATTAATTTACATAGAAAACGAGTCGTGTGCGTTTTTGATAATACACGACAGGAATGTGGGGAGAATACGAGAGAAGTGTCAGTGTAATACACGACGCAAAACCAAGTGTTTTAAACGCTTGTTGAGTATTTGCTCAACATTCCCAGAAAATAAAAAGTGGAACATAAAAGATGGAATTTTAGAACGGTAATAAACACCGGGAGCTACAGAAGTATGTATGTTTTCAAAGAAAATTACGACGAAAGCAACAGCACTAGTTGCGGTCGGCAATAAACATCCTCGATCAAACTTTGGTCTAATCTTTCTCTAACCAAGGTTTAACCTGGGTCTAACTTAGTTTAACCTCAGTCTTTTCGGTTTGACCAAGTTAAACCGCGATTTTTATTTGGTTATTTCTAGACAGTATATAATTTCCTTCACACTGCAGCTCTCTGTCTCATGAATGCACAATTGTTGTGGTTGTAACAATAGTGCTTAAAGCCATTTTATATATATATTTTTAATTACTTTTACTCCTATTACAGGTTAATTTAACATTTTTGGTTCAAGATACGAAAAACGGCAGCTCAACCCTTTCTCCAAATATTCAACTTTGCCGATGTGAGAACGGTGGTGAATGTTTTGTTCCTGAAGCTACATCAGAACAAGACGCAGCAATCGAAAATACTTTTCTTGTTATGTCTTGCAATTGTCCTTCTGGTTATACCGGGGAATTCTGTGGAGACGTGAGAGATTTCTGTGCGGGAGAATTGACACCATCTTGTAATGCCTTGGTCACATGCACTAATTCTCCAACCGGTTTCACGTGTGGGGATTGCCCGAATGGGTACGATGGAAACGGACAGATATGCTCAGGTCAGTTAATTAACCAATTTTGGAAATAATTGGCTGTTCTTATACTCCTTCCACTAGTTTGCTTCCACAGTGTCATATGTGGCGCTGGTACGTAATATGCTTTAACGACATAGAATGCTAATCTATGGGTATGTATAGCTTATTGAAATCAACCATGCATACGCTTTTTCAATTACTTAAGGTTGCGACTCCAATTTTGAGCCTTGTCCAAAATATGGAAATTAAGTTTAACGTATATTATAATGTTTTGAACAGGGATTTTAAAGAAAATTTCCACATATATTAACTCTTAAATTGACAATTTGTGCTGAATATCTCCTAAGTCATTCTGGATGGCAAATAGTGAGTTATTTTGGTCAGTAAAATACTAATCAAGGCGCGGTGACATAATGTTATTCACTCTATCCGGTAAAAGTCTGAAACATATATTAAAGTAACGTGGTAAAACTACAAAATGTAGGGAGGGGTTTTTTTTTGTTTTTTTTTTTGGGGGGGGGAGGTGGACATTATCTATACCGCAGCACAATTTAAATTTTTAGTTTTAGGAGGCGGCGCTTATGGAGGGCGGTTTTTATTTGAGGATGGCGCTCGCGCTCTTTATTAATTGCTTTAATTAATTTACCCTATAGATATTGACGAATGTGAAGGAAATCAAACGGTTTGCGACCAAATATGTACGAACACAGTGAGTTCCTACTTTTGTGGATGCAACGATGGCTTTTCGTTAGGCTCAGATGAAAGAAATTGCAGTGGTAGGTACATAGTAGAGAACATAACTGCATGAGTGAATTGTTCCCAAACAGCCTAGTTAGTATCAATAATACCAAAATTTAGATGAGAATTGGAAAAAAAGATGTACACGGCTGCATGCATATGGACAGAAAGATTGATAAATTGAAAAATAGATTGATCCATCCACCTGAACAAGAGACCATGCAGTCATCAGCTTCGTTGACACGTTCTTGCACTAATTTGACCGACATTAATTTGTATCAAATAAAGTGTCCACTGCGAACACTTTAATTTAGCCACCAGAATAGGCTACATAAAATTAATGTTAAAAGGTGGTTCGATACAGTTTTCAAAAACTTGGCTGTCTATAACAGTTCGATCGCTCTAAACGTCGTATTTTTAAGTTTTATGCCTGAGATATCAGGTTATTTTTTTTTAAATGTTTCTTCTTTCGGATGATATGTTTTATTTTTGGTATATTGAAAGGTTTAGGTGGCAAAACTTAATTTAAACATAACAATGTTTTCTTTTAAGTAAAAATTAAATATATTTTATCTGTTATGCAATAAATATTTTGTATATATTTTAAAATTATAGATATAGATGAGTGCTCAAGACCGAATAACTGTAGTCAGCTGTGCAAGAATACAGTCGGCTCATATGAATGTCACTGCAGGATCGGATTTTTAATCAATTCTGATGATCCCACAAGCTGCACAGGTAAAATATTCAAACCATTTCGATTTCCGCTCTATCATCTGAGACGATTAATGAGCCCATTGTATTCACAAACAAAATTGAGCAATATTTCTAGGTTTTGTACACACAATTTCGGCCAAAAAGTCTAGTTTACGTAAAGCAATAAGAGAGAGAGATTCTCCGCAAAATCCCACCAGTGCTAAAGAACACAATCGATTTTTTCTATGAACTGGCAAATGATTTGCAAAAAATATTAATGTGATGATTTGATCATAACACCCAGGTGATGTGATTCGCCAAAATAAACCACGCGCGGGAATCACGCAATCAAGATGGCCGACAAAATATACTATAAGGAGTGTTAATTTAAAATATGAGCAAGAGTGTTTATCAGATATAATATACCTGATAAAACACGGACTGCGAGTGTTCGAAATGACTTCACGACCATCTGATGAGTTCATTGGCGACGAAATTTCAAAAATAATTAAACGTTGTCTAAGCCGAGTAAAGCAAAGCTAAAGTTTATGTAAATGAACAAGATTTTTATCACATATATAATATCACCGATACAGCAGTGATTTCCCTTGTCTTCTCCTCATAAATTACAAATGCGTTTTTAATATTTGTTTTTCAAAAATCAGGAAACAACTAAATAACTTCATTTTCAGCGAAACTCCAATGTGACGCCAATAATGACTGTGATCAGATATGTTACATCGATCCACTTCAAGCCGGACAAGAAAAATGTGATTGCAATCTTGGATATAGCCTTCGAGAATCAGATATGAAGTCGTGCGACGGTTAGTTTATTGCATACCACATTACTAACCCTTGAAATTGGAAATCCACTAAAGAATTGAAGGCTACTATGTGATGTTTGAAAACCGTACTTTCTTGTTTTTAATTTCTATCTTTTTAAAAACATTTTTAATTATTTTTAATTTATTATTTTAATTATTTTCATTTTTTCATATTTTTAATTTACTATTTTTATTATATTTTAGTTTCTTTTTATTAATTTATTGTTTCATATGTTTAATTATTATTTTGAATTTATTTTTATTTAGTATAGGCTTTGCTTCCGTATTTAATATCACAGGTTTTAGGCGACTGAATATATAATTCCATGGTTCTGAATATATACAGTGCGCTCACCGAATAACATTTAATGATCATGTTTTGCTTCTTAGACATAAATGAGTGTCAAAGTACACAAGATAATCTCTGTGATCAAACATGTACTAACACAGCAGGCAGTTACACTTGTTCATGTTTGGCAGGATATTCATTCACAAGTCCAGCTACTTGTACAGGTAGGAAAGACCCTGGTCGGGGCTGGTCACGTGACCCATTGAAAATTGATAGCCTTAAGGCGGATTTCCAGTCCTCGCACGAAGCTCCTCGCAGCTCGCTTTAGCATTGTGATTGGATGAAAGTGCTCATGCATGCACTCGCAGCGAGCTGCGAGGAGCTTCGTGCGAGGACTGGAAATCCGCCTTAAGAGGGAGATGGAAAATTCACATATTACATGTTTCCACTTCCGCACTTTATACTTTGATTGCAAGGAGTGGCCGCTCTGTACAATTATCTGTGAGAATGATATATACTTCAAAATACTTGGCATATACTTATAATATGCCATTGAATTGTTGTCATATGTCATATAAATTTTGTTAAATAGAGGTCTCAAAAGCGACTGTGCAGGTAGTAGCGTAGCGCCTTGCTAGTTTACAGCAAACGTTACAACACATTTGGACACTAACCAAATAGATATTGAATGTCCATTCTATTGATTCTAAAACTGTTTATAGACATAGTGCTCTAGATTTTTATTCTAGATTTTTTTTTTAATTAAAAAGGTTATCATTGTTTATATCAAACATCAACAAGGAAGGAGTGTTAACGTACAAAGTTGTTTGATATCGACAGTACAGAATTAAATACGACAATTCACAACTGTACGCATTTCCTTTTTCGTCTGCACGAGTACCTGTTTGTTGAAGCTAAAATATTGCACAGCATCTCCTATATAATTCTATTGCCATTCACTCTTGGCCCTTGAATGCAAAGGAATGACAGCCGGAAGGGTTTAGGAAAGCATTTTTTTATTATATCTGGTATAAAGTGTCACTCAGGGATATATATATATATATATATATATATATATATATATATATATATATATATATATATATATATATATATATATATATATATATATATATCTCTTTATATATATATATATATATCTTTATATATATATATATATATATATATATATATATATATATATATATATATATATATATATATATATATATATATATATATATATATATATAGTACAATCGGCAGACATGCATGTTTCGGCGTTCAACGCCTCGTCAGTGCAGCTTGGTACACACACATATATATATATATATATATATATATATATATATATATATATATATATATATATATAGGGGCCAAGGTCCTCCCAAGTTTTCAGAAAACACAAAAAGTGCCCTTTCTCCAGTGGCAAAGTGCCCTTTGCCTTCGTGAAAAATGTTGTTCAGATTGCATTTTTTTATGATTGCAATTATTTTTCGTTCAGAAAACACAAAAAATGCCCACTCTCCAGTGGTAAAGTGCCCTTTGCCTTCGTGAAAATGTTGTTCAGATTGCATTTTGTATGATTGCAGTCCACCCCCCGTCGATGTTTAGGAAATCAAAGGATATCGTTATAAAATAAATCCTTTGTTTTGAATATCGGACAGGATACACTTCAACCATAAACAACCATTTCGTTTAATGCCACTGTTTGATCGAACAGTCAGTGTAGAAGATATTGATGTTTCTACGGCGATACGTGCTAAACTTCGCAAGGCAGGCGCGTGTGGAGTCCTTTCCTTGGAAGTGAAATGTGATCCAGCTTCTCGCTTGAAATGTACCGCAACACTTATTATTAATGACATTCAGTATAGCAGGAAGTCGTGTCATGATGAGTAAGAATTTAGAACAGTTCCGTTCACGATTTTTTGTTGCAAATTACATTTTTATCACCCGAAACTATAACACATAAAATTGCAATTTTCCAAACGCAACAAACAGACTCTTCTACCACCCCTCCCTGAGATCAATTTTAATTTTCCACGCAGAATCTGCGTGACACGTGACCAGCCCCGACCAGGGTCTTTCGTGCAAAAGAGGGAAGAGCCCGGGAGCGAGGTTGCAGTTGCAACGCAACAACTGAAAAAAATTGAAGTCACTTGAGTAATACAAAAATATCTGAAGATTCAATAAACCAAATGCATGTCGGCTTGTCTGAAATATGCATTTGAGATATCTGAAGATTTAATAGAAAAATAACATCGAAAACTACATGTTATCGAATTACGATTAATTTCAAAGAAGTACCATTATGATCTGCGCGGTTCTGTTATAACCACTTCCTATTTCTTACGTAACCATATTATTTGAACTTCCAATTACAAATCTGGAGCCAGTTGTACGAAGGCAAGATAGCGCTATCCTTCGGATAGTATTTTTTCAACCGTTGTTAAGGGTTTAAAATCACTTCAAGGGGGAAGGCGCTATCGGGCTTTTTGGTTTATTATTTTACTAAATTGTTCTAATTTATTACCAGTTTCGAATTCTCATATATTACTCAAAAGTCTGTCTAGTTTTCGATTTTCTCATCAAGATTTTCAGCGTCAGTACACATCCGCAGTAGAGTTTATTTTAGTATTCCATCATGCCGAATCCTCTAGGAGAAATGTCAATTTCACACAATAATAACAAGATTCTCCTTCACTCCTTCTCCGACTGATACTCACAATACTGGTGCAGTTCGCGGCGCGCGACGGCTTGGAACCCACGATTTTAATTAATTCATACGCATGACTAGTGACATCCTCTTCTTTCGTGTGCAAGCTTCGGTTTGTTCAACTCACTAAATTCGCTTCAAAATCTTTCAAAAAATTCATCCATCCGGAACAAAATTCTCTATTTTATGCAAGAATTACCTTTGAAAAGGTAAGTGCTGAATATCGCAAGCTGTATTTATATTTAAAAGAGTTTTATATCGAATAATATTAAGGTAAAACTTTGCATTTTGTTTAATACGTTTACATTTACTGTGGTTATACGTCGCCCTGATCGAATATTTTGATTACTTTCGTCAAGTCTGGGCTTTATTTTTTGAGTGTATCTCCTGTAGGTACCCATCTCGCAGGCAGATAAATGCAATATTCGTCCAGAGTACCCATACGACGAATACGTATGGAAAATTAAACAGTTTATAGTTATATTTTACAGAAATATTTGATCTAATATCCACACAATGTTTTAAAAATGACTTGGTTTCCTGCAGGTACTCATCTCGCAGGAACCAGACAATATGCTCTTTGAGGGTACCAGCTCTGATGATGCATC